GCCTCCCATAACTTGCTATTGTGATTTCTTCCTAGAAGTCCAGAATCGGCTGTCTGGATGTGCTAGAGGTAATTTGCATGTGTCCACTCATTAGACTGATGTTGTTCTGCAGGCGCTGGCGTGTCAGGTGCTGGGTTTGGCGCGGCGCCATCCCGCTCTTCACCACTTCTTGAAGCGTGCAAACTGGTGAAAGAAGGGTGGCGCCGCATGAAACCCACCCCCTTACATGCCTTAACGTTTGCAGCAAGAAAAACAACACCTTTCCGCTAAACCGCTCCTCAAATCAAAACATTTGTCCATTTGTTCTCATGCAAAAACTTCGAAAAAGAACTCCTACAGGCAAATTGTGGTGCTCTCGACTCCTATCTCCAAAAGCAAGAACAGCCAATGGATAAGAAAAACGAAATGTGTCTGCAGGTGACTCTAAGAGTTTCAACTTTCTCGTTCACCTTTGTGAAATTTTTACTGTAACAACACTCATTAAGGCGGCATGGGGGCTGGAATACTTGCATGCGAAAAACGTTCTTCACAGAGATATTGCTGCAAGAAATTGTTTGTATGGTGACAATAAGGCAAGTGCAAAACGCTCAAATGCTTGTCCAGTTGAGATCGGTTCAGCGCGTTACAAACAGGGCTCACCATCGTTATCTGAAGCACAAACGGGGGTCGTATATGGCCCCTGAAGAGAGGGGTCGCGTCTTGCCAAGAGAAAATTCTTTTTTGGCTATCGATTTCGACCCCGTCCGGGGCAAAGAACTATGGTTCTGATAGTTGATCGGAGGTGTCAATCCCCCCCCCTCCACCCCCTCCCTATTCGATGTCAAAACGTTGGGAAAAGTTGGTAGGGTGGAAAACGCGGTCGAATAAGAGACGTAAATTGGGGGGAGGCGCAGTCCACAAAAATCAGGTACAAGGTGGTGGTGTGCCCGGGTTCGAGCTGAACATGTGGTTGTGGTCAGGACTACCACTAATTACCCGCAGAATTCCACGCAGTTTACAGGTAAAAATTTCCGATTTTGGATTGACTCGTGAAGGCACGGTATATCAGATGGATCCGCACAAAAGGGTTCCAATTAGGTGGCTTGCCCCCGAAACATTGAAAATGGCCATCTACACGCAAAAAACGGATGTGTTCAGCTTCGGTAAAGTTTTTTTACTCACATTCATTTCCAGATGTCATTCGTACGTGCTCTAAGCGCAAGGTATCCCGGGAACTCTCCAGAGGCTCTCTATAGGTTTCGGCGAGTTCCTAGGATGCCTTGTGAGGATATCTTTAGGAGGCGCCAAATCTTCACGTTGTGCTGTTATAGCAGACTGAAGTGGCTTAGCCTTACCGTAGAGTTACCCCACCGAAGGCAAATAACGTCCAGCTTCTAAGCACCACTGTTTATAGGTATCATGTGCTGGGAGATATACAACAACGGTATAGAACCGTATCCAGGAATGACTGTAGCGGAAGTTAATCAGAATGTAAGGACGTCTGCTCATCTTTTTTCAAAAGGAACGAAGTCTGGAAATAGACTCAAAACATGAAAAAAGCTAAGCAAAATAGCAGGTCTAAGTTCAGGTTAAGGAAGGCTATCGCATGGAACTGCCGCCAAATGTTCACCCTGATATACAAGTCTATGTAAAGGTTATAGTCACAGTTTCTATTCATTCTAGTGTTCATTCCTGCTCATAGCTTCATTTTTCGTTTCTCAGGTTATGTAGTCTCACCTCCGCAAACGAGAGGGCGTGTGAAAGGGTTTGGATTTGGTCGCAAGAAGTGCATCGTTTTCCATCGAATTTTGCGGGCTCAGGATGGCATCGATTGATGAGAAAGTTCACCCTGGCCGCACTCCAAGCCAGACCCCCTCACACGCCGTTTCGTTTGTAGGGATGGTAACTGTTTTCCGTTTCTGGAATCGAGCAGAGTGTTAGTTGTGCCGCTGTTATGAGCACTGCTACATGTATTGCACGGCTTGGAAATGGAACTATTCAAGAGTGCAGGGTGTGAGGGGGGACGTCAAGAAGGGTAGATCCAGCGAAGTGTTTAGGACCACAAGGTAAGTACATCCAGTAAGAAAGGAAACAGGATCCAGGCGGAGGCAGCATGTTGACGGTTGCGCGGTGAAGGCGCGCTTGACGTAAGTTAGCTATGCCCAGATGAGGTGTGACTCTGCCTCCTGACCGCGTCCCCGCCCACAAATTATCGTGCCTTATGAGTTCTTTATTTCATCCATCAGCGCTTGGGCTAGGGAGACACAGCACGGTGTTAAGGTTACATTAGAGGACATTACAGATACCAAGGCTGAACTCTGTGGAAAACCCACACGACCGCTTTCAATAGCGACTCATTGCCGATGCTAGCTAGCATTGTAGCAGACAGAAAGCCGTCAGCAAAACTGCCTTCGAGCTGAACCGAGAGCCACCATGGCCCTGAAATACACATCTACATGAGTGAGTAATAGCAGTTGTTCTTTCAGGTAAACATGTTGGTCGGAAAATCGCCCAACGACACGAATTTTTCAATGGCAGAACTTGCTAAACACTTCCAGAGGACATTACAGATACCAAGGCCAAAATTTGTGGAAAACCCGCACAATCGTTTTTAATAAGGACTTAAAAAGTAATATGTTCTCCTTTTCTTCGTAAATTTATATGCTTGAGAGAGCTTTTTCAGCCAGCCAATACCTTCTGAAATTTTCGAATGTAGGTTCCTCAAATAAGACCAATAAACAGAACCACAAATTCATCCATTCGCGAGTGAGTACGCTGTACTCTCAGCATGCACCGAGAGATCGACAGGGCACAGCATTCGATGGGGATTTTGGTCGAGCTCGTACGACCCCCCCCCTTTTTGGGGGGTTCGGTACGACCCCCCCCCCTTTTTTGCCGTTTGGTTTTTTTTGTGATGCGTATCGATACGCATCACAAAAATTCCGCAGAACCGCTGCGTTTCGGCGGCCGGGGAAAAAGCAATAGATGCGTATCGATACGCATCAAAAACTTTTCGCCGAATCGCTGCGTTTCGGCGGCTGGGTAAAAAGCAATAGCAATCAGCAAAGTAAAAAGCAATAGCAAAGCAATAAAGCAGTTAAGCAGCAGTTTTTGATGCGTATCGATACGCATCAAGGACGTTTCGCCGAATCGCTGCGTTTCGGCGGCGGTTCAGCAGAACAGAATCGGCTCCAACAAAATAAATAAAAATATAAAAGCGAAATAGGACGAATACAATCGAAACAGGATGAATAGAAATGAACGAAAACGCTAAAACGCTTCTATCGCGCTAAAAATGCATTAACCCCGAGATGTGGGGTACGGTAGCAGAAGCGCGTGTGTAATTGCAGCTTTGACTGGAGCAAAACGGCTATTAGCCATGGCGCGAGAATTTTCAGCAAAGTAGGGTGTCTTTGAAGGACCATAACTTCCTCAAAAGCGGACCTGTGGGGAAGAGGAGAGCGTATTGGTAAATTAGAAGGTTTTATCTTCCTGAAAGTACTAAAATGTTCATGAAGGTCGCGAAAATCACAGAGAAGCTGCCATGGGGATTCGTTAGGGAGTGAAGGGTTGAAGTTCAAGTTGAACAGGTTTGAATCAATATATTTTTTTTGTAACTCAACATTTCACAAATCTGAGAACGGATCCGAGCTTCTCAAGATTTTCTCTTTCTAAAAACCTATTGAACTGTTCCTGAAGCTCTCGGGATTCATGAGATCCTCGCGATGGGGATTTCTTAGGGAGTCACATCCTCCCAGCCGCGCGAAAACCCGTTTCCTGTGCACCGTTTCAAGTGAGCGTGTTCGAATAGCCAGGAACGCATGTAGAACGTATCCTGTGGTGGAGCAGGAGCAGGATATGGTTCGTTTAGCGCCGATCACGCTGACTTTGTATGCGCCGCGCACTGAGGGCCGCGCAGAAGTGATGGGATGGTGCAACTTGTGCGTACTGTCTGTTCACGCGAGCAAATGTGTCTATAGTATTCAGGGAGGTCTATGACGAACCTGTGCACTTGTTTACAGTGTTTTCCCCTTTGTGGTGATGGAACGTGTCTGTCGACGCCGCCCGCCCGATCTGTGCTCCTCCAATTGCTGTCTCCGATAAAGGAGACCAACTGCTGGAAAACGTCTGATACGAACGATATGGTAGTCGTGTCGCTTGTCGAAAAAAATAGGCTGGCTCAGCCCCAAGCGCAATCGCGGACACGCCCCATACATCTGGCAGCAAATCAGGAAGTAAATGGGCGTTTACTGTTTTAGTATCAAAACGGGACTTACGAAAGATGATGCCGACTCATTTAAATTCCAGTTATTTCGCATTTTTATGGCTGAAAAATTTGTCCTTTTTTCAAATATTCGAGTTCTCTACAAAGTAAGCTTCGCTGTACCGGACTCAGCACATTGACACCTTTGCGCTGCTCGATACTGGCTACGCACTATTCATTACGGACCGGCGCCCCTCTCTGCTGGCGGCCAACTACGACGCCCCCCCATGGGGATTGCCCAACACCAAGTGCTGTGCCCTGGGATCTGAATCTTTGCATGTGCGAGGAGAGCTGGAGCCGCTGCGCGAAAGGCAGTGCCCTGCTTTCAAAAACTGAAAACGGCGGCGGGAAATGCGACTGGGAAATGATGGATGCCATTTAAAGCACTATCCGCAAGCACGCTGCACGTTCACATGCCGGACCACCAGCTGCGTGCCCAACTAAGCTAATTGCCCTTCTTGTCTATGCCTCACCCCGTTGGGCAAGAAGCTTTCTCCTGGCTTTTAGCCGGGACATACAGCTTGCGTTTCATGTTGTTCGCTGTGGGACCTCGGCATAAACGCTTATGCTGCGCATTATGGACTTCGCACGGGGACCCAAACGTTACCCACCTTCACTACGCTTCTGCCTTATTATATAGAACTAGTGAGTTCTGTAGACTCTTGTCAAGTGTAAAGGCAGCTAGTGCTGTTGCAGAGCGTGCCAACTTTACGAGTCTTCACAAAGCATCACCATCATCGTTGGGAATCAGCTAAATGCCCCAACCGGGCGAAGTTATGTACCTCATAGGGTCAAGTGGTTAAGCAATAGAAAGTAGCCCCACACAATTCCATAGCGTTATGGTTTTCCCCAACAAAACTACACCCACTAGCTGCTTTATCACTCAATTAGTTTTACTGCCGTTTGTTTCCCGACAACTTCATCTAGTACAACACATTTAGGAAATGAAGGAATTCTGTGACATCCGCTGCTCGTCATTCTCCATATGTGGTCAAATATGACTTTATAAACACTTCGTTGATTCCTGATGTGTTCACATTTGTGTATTTACCAAATGTAATTTGCATGTGATCAGTCGTGTTTCATATGAATTAGAAGAGTATGAGTTGAACTAACTGAACATCATCAACAAGAAAAATTGTTTGTTAAAGAGCAGTCTGCATCTAGTACACTCTACTTCGTTGCGGACGGTTGGGCCAGTGTGAGTGTGCACACATCAAAATCGTTCTCTACGCTGTCTTTTTGAAACGGCGCAATGCGACAAAAAAGTGTAGGAACCGAGTAATACAGAGGACAAGATGCTAGTCATATCGCTTCCCGTCGCTTGCAACAACTCTTTGGAGAAACGGAGTTTGGCAGCGGCGTGCGCCAAACGCGTGTCGCCGTGGCCGAAACGCCCAACGGTCCGCAAGCGACTACCCACTATATCTACAATGGTATCATTTGCGTCCTGGTCGCGGGAAATGAGCTCATCTAGGCGTCCTTCCCACCACACTGACTGTTTGTACTTAAGTAGCGGCGCTGTTAGAAAATGCAAACGCGGCTTTTCGCACTCGCGTCGACACCACCCACCACAAATGTGACGATATTATTTAGGTACCAGTCGGATCGCGCGGTTTACGCCGAGCCCTGTTCTTTCTCCTTAGCCCGGACTCTGCAAGCGGCTGGCTTGGGTTCCAAGGCGCATTTCATAATAGAAACTGACTTGTCAATTTACTGAGCCGCTCGAATTGCGTTGTTTTGATCGAATCGTAACAACAGAGTAAGCGATTTTCCACTGGGTTCCACGCTTGTGCAGTTACCATTACCTGCATCAAAACGTCTGCCGATCAGCGTTTACCTTTGCTATTACCATGCGGTCCATTCAATGAGACTGCATAAACGATTGCAGGTGCTAATATTTGGGGCTATAGAGAAAGATCTCTATTCCATTATCAATAGTTCGTATTATTGTATTGTACTAATAGTTCGTTGTAGATATTCAGCTGTAGATACCCATGGGTGGGCCTTGACCACCTATTGCGCGGGCCGCCCTAGGTGATCTGGCGCGCTGGGGCGGGAAAATTACCGTATAAAAGGGCCCCCCAAAGGGCCCCCTCATGTCTTCTTATTCTCGTATTCCAGCTGTATTCTACTGCTTCCTACCAATAAATATTCTACTTATCGACCGTCTCCAACAACAGCCACATGGGCTACATATCTCGCATTATTCGTTTTCATCAGTAATCAATTTGAAAGTCTAAATGTTGATATCACATTCGAAACATTACCTAAAATTGATACCAGACATGAACTGGTTCGCAACTCTGCTAGTGGTTTTCCTTCCCCTCTTCATCCTAGCACTTTCAGTTCCCACTGTTGTGAAGCGCTCCTGTTGAAGCGCACTCTACGCTTCGCAGTCGTA